ACTTAAACCGGGACTCAAATCCCTCTTTCACATTTGAATGAGTTGAATTTGGTCTACAAAGTTGGCCCAATAATTTAAGGACCAATTGAATTTTCTGTGTAACCTTTTTAGCAAAATATGTACTAATGAATGCTGAGGAAAGGTGTAAAAATGCTCCTTTAAAAAAAAATTGTCCTGGTTTTCCCACTTTTCTTTGGGTTTTTCTAGCTAATCCAACGTCAGCCACAGTTTCTTGGAGCATTAAACTTCATACATTTGTTCCAATATGTAGGATATAGCTCACTCTTGAAACTTTAAAATACGTAGTTATTCCGCTAATTCTGGATAATCGAGTTTAGACTGCGCAAATCCATCAGGTTGTCTGTACTCTTACTGCTGTCCTTCTCCAGCTGTGTTGTGCATGTGCCCCAGGTGAGGTTTAAAACTACAATGTTCTGCAAATACCTCAGGCCCAGTTCAGTGCTACCTGCTCGTGAATGCTAGTACATCACCTGTTTCTGATACAGTAGGCAAAGGGCTCTGTTAGTACTGTATGTTCTCTGTCAGGACACTGTCCTTTCCGGGAGGCTTTCCGGCACTGTAGACCCACAAGTTCCCCTGCCATTCCTGACAGAGTGAGTAGGTTTAAAATGTCCGCAAGCTATGACCCTCTGTATGGCAACCCTTTGGTTTGTGGGGGCTGTGTGTGGGTGGAGGAGGAATAGTGGGTCTCAGGTGCATACAAGACTTTGCAGGTGGGAAGACAGTAGTCCCTGTGCAGGCATGAGCAGTAAATCCACTAATGTCGGTGGAAATTGCACATCTGTATTGAGAGCAGATTATATGCCTTAGCTTCCATTTCCTCTCATTTGCTGCTTCAGGGCAAGTGGGCAGATTACTGAGAACTAGAATAAATATTGATTGGCCCATTTCCCTCCCCAGCCGTGACCCCATTTCCTAGAGGGATAAAACAAGTAGCCCAACCTCCTTTCTCAAATCTGTTGTAATGTCTGATTGGAGAGAGGGGGCTTGATAACATGAGCATGTGTGCAGAATGTCTGGTCTCTTCCAGCAATCCCCTGTGTTGGTCATGCCGTTATTGCTGATTGTGTTGCTCTTACAGCCCCATTTTCTTGTTCCTGGTCCTGCAGGAATATTTCCTTACTGGACTGGCAACTGTTGCATTGGGACAGCTTGTCCTGTCACATCCCTGGTATGGAAAGATAACTATTTTTCAATTTCTTCACCGTAGTTTTCAGATCCCCTGCAACTGGCATCCCCTAGCAGTTGAGCCTTGCTCAATGAGGAGTCTGAAAATTATTTTCTGGATACAATTGCTGAGGCTGAGACACAGGAAGTGTTCTGCCCTGTGACCGTTTGAGTTAGATGCGTCTCTCTCCTGGCTAATGAAAGTCAGAAGGAAGGTGCTGGGCCTCTTTCGCAGGTGACCTAGTCAACATGCCGAGGACTCAGAGGAAATGGTGGTTCCGGTTGCTCAGTAAATCCTCTCTCAACATGGCTGATCTCTCCAGCTGTCACTCCATATCAAATCTCCCGTTATTGGGCAGTAGTCCTCAAAAGCTGGGCAAAGCTGCTTCAGCAATATTGGCATTTTCAGGCCTCTCTCTCTCTCTGGGCAGTTTGGTTTTGAGCCTGGATATGCTGCTCGTACAGAAATTCTTAGATCTTTATGATCAGTTGGTCTGACCTTCTGCATAACACAGGCCAAAGAGCCTCACTCACTAATAGCGCTGCAGCTGTTGGTGAGGAGGATCCTAGCGGCTCTCTGGGAAGCTTTTCAGGGCAGGAGTCCCATCACCTCAGTATAGTGCAAGGCACAATGGAAGCCTGATCCTGTTTGACGATCAGGTGCTGAGAGCTGGAGGTGAAATAATCTGCTGCGGTGGATCAGTTGCCAAAGGGATGCTATAGACCCATCGCTCTCAACCTTTCCAGACTCCTGTACCCCTTTCAGGGGTCTGATTTGTGTTGCGTACCCCCAAGTTTCACCTCACTTAAACTACTTACAAAATGAAACCTAAGAATACAAACGTGTGTCAGCACACTATTACTGAAAAAATGCTGACTTTCTCATTTTTACCATATAATTACAAAATAAATCAATTGGAATATAAATATTGTACTTGCATTTCAGAGTATAGCGCAGTATAAACAAGTCATTGTATGTAATTTTAGTTTGTACTGACTTCACTAGTGTTTTTTATGTAGCCTGTTGCAAAACAAGGCCAATATCTAGATGAATTGATGCGCCCCCTGGAAGACCTCTGCGTATCCCTGGTTGAGAATCCCTGCTAAACACGCAATCATTTGATTTATCAAATGTGCTGAGGGGGACTTAAGGGGGGGTGTGGAGGGAAGAAACAAGCAGGGAGAATGATTCCGTGGGAGATCTGAAAGCTGGGGTGCATGTTGTGTGACATGATGGCTAAACACAGGCAGCAGCGTTGTAAGCAGCAGTCTGGCCAGCACAATCCCTGAAACTGCTGGTGATGTTGAAGCTGAACTGCAGGTTTTCACAGCTAGTAAACTCCAACAAGCAGTTCCTGTTTGTGTCCAGGAAGAATCAAGTCTGGGCAAATATCGGTGCGTGCACATGCTTCTAATACATTTCTGGGAACTCAAATGTAAATTAGGTGCATCCCTCTGGCTCCCAATAAGAAGCCAATGTAGCTCCTGTGTTTAAGCTTTCCCTGGTGTGGAAATCCCTCCAGAAACAGCACAGTCTCTCTCAATCCCTGCTCCAGCGTGTGTGTGTGTGTGTGTGTGTGTGTCAGCCATCCACACCACCCGCAGTCTCTTTGGGGAGTATTTGTTGGGTTAGTGGTGGTCATGCCCTTTGCTACCATCAGCTTGTTTACTCTGTTTCTATGTTCTGTCCCTTCCCTGACCCTGTCTGTTTAGGTTGTATGCTCTTCAGGAGAGGAACTGTCTGCAACTGTATATTTGTACAGTCCCTGGCACAATGGGGCTTCATTCCTGGCTGGTCCTTAGGCACGACCATGATAAACATGATGAATAACGTGGAGTGTGAGCATTCCCGGGTGCATGGCACAGTCTGCTTGGGGGCAGAGTGACGGTCAGAATTTACTGAAGATGGGTGGGGGAGCAGGGAGATGGCTCTGGAGAACTTCAGACAGGAGCCTTTTTTGTAGATGGGAGTATTGGAGGTAGAATCCAGGCTAGATGGCATGGGTCTGCGGACCTATCTGCTGTATGCTTTTAAAGACAATGTGTTCCGCTAGAGAAAGCCGGTTTCAAGGTGTTGCTGTGAAATATCAATTATTAGTTTAGCTTGTCAGTACTAGGGTCTCTTTAGATCTTAGACCCCTTTCAATCACAGCTCTAAGCGCCAGAGCCATGATGTTCCTAGGTATAGACAATGGTAAAAGTCCAGAGGTCTGCCTCCCCCACCCCAAATGCTTGGTTTTGAGAGTAAAGTCTAACCACCAGCATTTGAAATCACTTCTGCTCTACAAAGGTGGTGAAGGGACTCAATCAGGTAATGCTGTCCGCTGGTGCTGTTTCTTTGGGAGATGTAGTTCTTCATGGCTGCCAGCCTCTCTTTAATGGCTTCAGTCTAGGACAGTAGTATTATGATAAATAGTACTTTTCTGATAAATTAATGTGCAGTTCTCTGGCAAACTTCCCAGTTCCTTGCCTGTCCCATACATTAGACAGAGGCTAGGCTGCTGTACCCAGGCTGACAGCGAAGCCCTGTCCATAACGACATATCTGATATGAAGGCAAACAGCGCTCTTGGTTCTAGGTTTGTGCACTGGGTCACTGATGTTTTATATTTACCAAAGGGAAAAGTTGCACTTGCTTCGCTGATGAAACAGTTGGTAAATGTGCTTTTGGGCAAGCAGCCCCTCGGCCAGGATTGTAGCAGTGGCTGGAATTTCTATTTGCTAGTCCAGATAAATTTTGGATTTATGTAGCTATCTTCAAGGGTTGAGTGTCCTCAACAGAGGATTATGATTCGTCTGGCTCTTTCACACAAGCTTGAGCCCAAAGACGCGTCTTAACAGCAGACACTTAAATCTAGGGATTCCATACGCTGAGTGTGAAGCTAATCAAGATATGTAGTGAACTCCTATCCAAAATGACTCCAAAGCACTTTGCAAACTGTCTTGACGTTTACCTACCTGTATATCACTGAAATGCAGCCACTTCTGGATCGAACAGGCAATTGGTTAACAGTGCACAGCTACTCCACAAGTTCAGACACATAGTGAAGACATGTTGATTGTTTTGAAATAACGGGGAATTTATGGCCCAGGTGTACTACGAATCTAACTGTACTAGTGTGTGCATAGCAGCATCTGTGTTGCAGGATGTTCAACCCTTTTAGGCTGTGACATGATTCCTAGCATGGGTTTAGAACTGCCAAAGCCGTGTCACAATGTAGGTGCCCCATCCATGCCAGAGGAGTATTGCTGGCTTGGCTAGACTAGGAATGTAGATAGTCCCTCAAGACAGACTATTAATAATGGAGCTGGATTTTTCCTCTTATTCTGGGGGGGAAATCCCAGGTGCGTTTTACACCTTCTCCAAAAGACCTCTGTGCCAGCCTCCCTGCAAGTGCCTCTGCTCCACTTTAGTGGATCCAAAATGCACCTGCCTGATTTTTAGCTAGTACTAGTTCTACAGACTGATCACTTTGGTGCTGATCTCTTTGAATCAGTCAATGCATCACTTACATTTCTGTCTAAAATAGAAACAGGTCCCTTGGTAGCCTCTGCCTTAGCCCCACTATCCAGTTTTCAGATCAGATAGCAACTTCCACATCTCCTGCGGCTCTCGGCTTACTTCAAGCTTGGCACAGAACCCACTGCCCCTTCCACCTGTAAACGCTCCACCTCGACAACAGGGAAGCTGTATGTTTCTGAATATAGCGGATAGCTGAGCCTGTTTCTGATCACAGGGCTGTTCTTGAAGGCAGATGTTCTGTCCCTGGGCTTGTACTGTGTTCTGAGGGCCTCTTTGCTGTTCCTCCGCAGAGCATTGTCTCGAAGAACTCCATGCAGTACCGAGGGAACTCGCAGCACGATGCACAGGAATTTCTGCTCTGGCTGTTAGACAGAGTTCATGAAGACCTGAACAATTTAGTGAAATACAATGGCAGACCTCCATTGAAGGTAAGGCAAATCCAGCACAGGCCAACAGGGAGAGTGGGGTATGTGTGTGTGTGTGTGTGTGTATATATATATATATATTTTTTTTTTCAAATATATTGATTTCAATTACAACACAGAATACAAAGTGTACAGTGCTCACTTTATATTTATTTTTGATTATAAATATTTGCACTGTAAAAAACAAAAGAAATAGTATTTTTCAATTCACCTAATACAAGAACTGTAGTGCAATCTCTTTATCATGAAAGTTGAATTTACAAATGTAGAATTATGTACAAAAAACCCTGCATTCAAAAATAAAACAATGTAAAACTTTAGAGCCTACAAGTCCACTCAGTCCTACTTCTTGTTCAGCCAGTTGCTAAGACAAACAGGTTTGTTTACATTTTCAGGAGATAATGCTGCCCTCTTCTTATTTACAATGTCACCTGAAAGTGAGAAGAGGTGTTCATATGGCACTGTTGTAGCCAGTGTTGCAAGATATTTACGTGCCAGATGCGGTAAAGATTCATATTGTATTTCATGCTTCAACCCCCATTCCAGGGGGCATGTCTCGGTGCTGATGATGGGTTCTGCTCGATAACGATCCAAAGCAGTGCGGACCGATGCGTGTTCATTTTCATCATCTGATCAGATGCCACCAGCAGAAGGTTGATTTTCTTTTTTGGTAGTTCGAGTTCTGTAGTTTCTGCATCAGTGTTGCTCTTTTAAGACTTCTGAAAGCATGCTCCACACCTCATCCCTCTCAGATTTTGGAAGGCACTTCAGATTTTTAAACCTTGGGTCAAGTGCTGTAGCTAGCTTTAGAAATCTCACATTGGTACCTTCTTTGTGTTTTGTCAAATCTGCAGTGAAAGTGTTCTTAAAACGAACAACATGGGCTGGGTCATCATCCGAGACTGCTATAACATGAAGTATACAGCAGAATGCAAGTAAAACAGAGCAGGAGATGTACGATTTTCCTCCTGAGGAGTTCAGTCACAAATTTAATGAATGCATTATTTTTCTAATGAGCATCAGCATAGAAGCATGTCCTCTGGAATGGTGCTGAAGCATGAAGGAGCATACGAATGTTTAGCATATCTGGCACGTAAATACCTTGCAATGCGGCTCAAAAGGGCCATGCAAATGCCTGTTCTCACTTTCAGGTGACATTGTAAATAATACGAGGGCAGCATTATCTACTGTAAATGTAAACAAACTTTTGTCTTAGCGATTGGCTGAAGAAGAAGTAGGACTGCGTGGACTTGTAGGCTCTAAAGTTTTACAGTGTTTTGTTTTTGAGGGCAGTTATGTAACAAAAATAAATCTACATTTGTAAGTTGCACTTTCATAATAGAGATTGCACTATAGTACTTGTATGAGCTGAATTGAAAAATACTATTTTATTTTTACAGTGCGAATATTTGTAATTATATAAAGTGAGCACTGTACATTTCATATTCTGTTGTAATTGAAATCAATATATTTAAAAATGTAAAAAAAATCCACAAATATTCAATAAATGTCAATTGGTATTCTGTTTAACAGTGCGATTGGGGCCAGAGGGCTGTTCCTGGCCCCTGTGACTGCAAAGAGCTTCTCAGTCAATGCGTGGCAAGTGTGTACCAGCACAACCCAGTGTGAATGGTGACACCTGACTCTGCCACCCGTTAAGTTTGGCAGCTTAATATGATGTGCCAGCTATATCCAGTGAAGATGGCTGCCCAGGTGCTCTAGTCCCCTCTGTGGACCACACACAGGAGCTGAAAGCACTTGCAATTTCAAATACTTGGCTTTGTCCTGGTGTGTTTTAGCTCGGGAGAACCTAACTTGGCTCTTCCCCATTTAGCTGTATGTGATTAGTGTGGCACTCCTGCGTATCCTGGCATGCCTCCCTTTGGAATTGATTTTCCTTTTCAGCCACCGTTGGAAGATGCTGCGCTGCTCGAGGCACCAGGCTTTCCAATCAGTAGCACTTTCATACAGGAACTCTTTCAAGCCCAGTACAGGTACAGTAACTTTCAGCACACTCTGATTATGGGGGTTTATGTGCATGTTTTTATAACCACAATATACAGCATTTCATTTACAGCAAGGGTTTGTCTGCAAAAACGCTGTGCAGAGCCTTGCTGGAGTGTGTGGGGGAAGGGGTTTGATCAGGAGGGAAGAGCAGGGTCGCTGTTTGTGTTCTTGATGGTTTGCTTGTCCCTAGTTAAATGAGAGATGTAACTTTACCCCTATTGATATTTTTAATAGGTCCTCTCTGACGTGCCCTCATTGTCAGAAGCAGAGTAACACCTTTGACCCTTTCCTCTGCATCTCTCTGCCAATTCCTCTGCCTCATACACGGTAATGTGCTAATCTGTGCCTTGAAGTTAAAATTTTGGGTGTCTTTCCCAATGCTTGGTAGCATTGCAAATCTTAATATAGAAGAGATTGAGACGCCAACAAGCTTTGTGGCAGATTGGGGTTGAATTGATGGGCCAGTAGAGCTGTATTCTGAAGGGGAGCCCCCAAACAACGCTGAGAAGATGAGCTGTGCAGGAACTAGATTTCTTATTTCTCAGAGAATTCCATAAATCTAAAAGTTTTTCCTATACAAAGCAGAATGAAAAGATTGAAAATTTCCTACAAAACTTAGTTTCAAAATTTCATTTTGGGTTAAAGTTTTTTTTGGTTCCAATTTTGACTTTTTTTTTTTAAATTGTTCTCCAGGTTCACCAAGTGTAGGAGAAGTAGTAATGAGCTGAGTTTGCAGCAAGAGAGAGATTTAGGTTGGATATTAAGAAAAACTTTCTAACTATAAGGCTAGTTAAGCATTGGAATAGGTTACCTAGGGCAGCTGTAGAATCCTGGTCATTGGAGGTTTTTAAAACCAGGTTGGATAAACACCTGCCAGAGATGGCCTAGATTGACTTGGTCCTGCCTCAGTGCAGGGGATGGGCCAGACGACCTTTCAACGTCCTTTCCAGCCCGACGTTTCTTTGATTCTAGAATATAAAATTTTTTAAAAATGTGAACAGAAAATTGGAAACATTCGGTTGCAGAAAGGCCATTTTGCTATTGACAAATTGGCTTTTGCCAATGGGAAAATGTTCTGTTGGAAAATTTCCAACCAGCTGTAGAAAAGAGGCTGCAAAAATGCTTCCACTCTTCCCCTTCTCTTTAACCCAGTGGGTTTTCCCAGCAGCACCTCTTTGAGAGTGACTTTAGGATGTCAGTTTTGATTGATCTGGGCCATGTTACAAGGATCCTTGAGGTAAAATTAGGATTGCCCTTCAATCAAGAGGTCATCTAGGGCGGCCTCATTGAGGAACTGTATTTTGTGATTCCACTTCCTTGGGAGGACTCCCCAGTTAGTGCATAGAGTAGAGGCTAGCACCATAGGGAACATACCTCTAACTTGGAGCCAGATAGGTGTCTGTCCCTCCTGTATTTAAAGGTCTGGTAGACATTTGGGACTCCAAAGCATCTGCTGGGTGGGCCTGATTGCCTGAATAGCTCCAGGGTAACGTGGCCCAGAATGGTCATATATGACTTCATTACTGATGATGCAACCAGCCTCTTTAGGAGCTCTATGTGGGAACTAGGCTTGGGTCGTGACCCAAGGACTGAGTGAGATCCTTGCACCATTTTTCCATCCCTAAATGGCCTGGAGGTTGTCATAACAACCAGATCAGAAATGGTCTGTATTCTTATGATGTGTGCAATGTAAAAGTCCCCATTCAGGGTTCTGCAGCCTGCTTTGTTGATCCGACCAAGCTTAGCTCAGGCTGAGTTTTTCTAGGTACTGTATAGAAATGTTCAGCCATCCCACTTCTTCCCTGTACTCTCTGCAGACCTCTGTATATCACTGTGGTGTATCAAGGGAAGTGTTCGCATTGCATGCGCATCGGTGTGGCAGTGCCTCTGTCTGGAACAGTGGCGAAATTGCGCGAAGCAGTATCCATGGAAACCAAGATACCCACTGAGCAGGTAATGGGCTGGTCTTTGGTCACGGTGGTGCCTCTGGTGTCCTGCAGGAGTTCTGATGTGTTTTTTCTAGTTGATATGGCAGGTAACAATGGACGCTCGGGGTTCAGATCAGTGGACCTAAATTTGTGGAGGAAATGAGTGACTGCAGAAACTAGCCTGAACTCATTGTCTCTTGCGTGTAACTCTCACAGGAATCGGTTTGGCTGCCTGTAGGTTATACCAGCTCCCTGCTCAGGCCTCCAGGCTGCATTGCTGCTTCTGCTCCTTTTTGCTCTCTTACTTGAGGAAGGGAAAGCCTGGTGCTTCTGCCTAACAGCCCTACAGTGACGGTGTGTGCACGTGTGTACTCTGCTCACTATTGAGAAACCAGCAGGGGCTCATGGGAAATGTCCTGGAGTTTTGAGACTCCTAGGGGAAAACTACTAAGATGACACTCGAAGGGTCCCATGAAAACCCCTGCATGTGTTCCCTTGATCCCAGCTGCTCCCTCATGGCCAGACCCTCCCCCATTTCTCCTTATTGGCTGGTACTGTAAGACTGGAGAATTCCCATCCTCCGTCAGGAACACTTCAGCAAAAGTCCATTCGTTAACTTCTCTCCCCATCCTGAGAGCTTGGCAGCTCAGCGGTGGCCAGCACTGATGGTCTAATGGCTGCTGTTCCATTTCTGCCTTGTAGATTGTGCTGACGGAGATGTACTACGATGGGTTCCATCGCTCCTTCTGTGACACTGATGACCTGGACACGGTTCAGGACAGTGACTGCATTTTTGCCTTTGAGACCCCTGAGATATTTAGGCCTGAGGGGATCCTTAGTCAGAGAGGTAAGTGGGTAGGTCTTCTAAACACCCCTTCCCCCCCAACTCCACCCCTACTGGAGTATTGGCTATGGGGAATTTGTTTGAAAAGGGGGCATTTGGTTATATATGTCCTAGGCCTAGAGAGGAACGTGGAGTGTCTCCTGGTCTGCTGACTCTGAATCGAGCTCTGCTTCCATGGGCTGGCGTTCCAGACCTAGATGGCTTACCTTGGAACCTGGCAACACCAGACCTTGTGGCGGAGGGGTGGTGCAGAGCAACCTGTTACAGTACAGGGCAACTGCACCTGTATTTCTCCTTAGTGGTCCAGCAAGGGCACTCACTCAGGCTTCCAGCTCCCCAGCTGGTGCCTCTCTTGGGTGGCGACGTGTCCGTCTCCTTCTCCTTCTGACCTGGTATCTCCAGGCTGCACAGTTTCCTGCCTTCACGGTATACTTCCCAGCACGGATAAGTTGCTCAAGAACACCTGCATGCTTTCTCTTTTTAGAGATGGATAACAAGTGTAATTGCTACAGATTTGTTACCACACAGACTTCCCAAGCAAGCCTACTTTATTCTACTGGTAAACAGCACTGAGGAGAAGACCTATTAAAAACAATAAAAGAACCTACAGACATGCTTTTAAGTGTACTAAGAACCCCAAGCCTTATATGAATTGTGGCAGGATAAGTCCATCAATACCCCTCCCTAGGAGAGTTCTTGGTTACCAGTTCATCACAGCTTCAGCTCAGAACGAGCACACTCATAACATGTTCAGTTCACACATTATACAGTTCAGGGGTCTTTGATCTGGAGTTTCCAGAAGCAAGTAATTGGTACAAAATGGGCCTCTCTCTTCAGGAGGTTGGCATTCCCCTCACCTCCAGGTACTTCCTAGGAAATCCACTTCACGCATGTTGCAAAAAGATCTTTGATGGGCCTAGTACCTTTCAGAGACCGCATTAATCCTGTCTTCCTGCTAAAGAAGTTCCATACAATCTCATGATAGTAAATAAACACTTGAATTTCTAATGCAGTGTACCCCAGAGGTATTAACCATAATTCAATAAGGTGTAACTTAATTAATTAAAGCTCATTCAGGATATTGTCAGTCTGTCACATCTCTCCCCCTACAGAAGTGGGTGTAATGAGGGTGCTGACCGACATTCTAGGGGAACACATTGACTGAATGCCTGGGCGGAGGTATTCCCTGGATGGCAGCTGTGCCATTACTTCTCTGTTTTACGTTTCACCTGTTCAGATAACAAACCTTCTGCTAGCAAACCAGCATACATCCTTCAAAAATATGTATGGCATTGTCTGTCCAACATCCTACATAATTTTCTACTTTAAACCTATGGGACTGAGCTTTCAGAAGCATCTTCTTGCCCTGTTACCCCAAATTCTTGGATGGAAACTTGAGACCTGATTCTCCCACTTCTCATGCAGTTTCTAGAGAGCATGTGTCTTGTTCTGTGGTGCCCTAAGGGGTCAGTTGCTTCAGTTCTGGATTGAGGTTCCCTATTTCCCACCATCCAGGAGTTTTACAAGCAGCCATTCTTTGGACCACGGAGAGAAATAGTTCTGCAGTGGCTCTCAACAATGCACTGCTTTTAACAGGAAAAGTCAAGCCAAGGGGGTGTCTTCAAACCTCCCCCATAGCCAGATTCCTTTCTCTGCCCCACCTCCCCTGAATTTGGCCTCTAGGGACTCCCGTGGCCCCACCTTAGCTCCTCTGGGTTCAGGCGATGAAATATTGATCCCCCACACCATTGGTTCCTTTTGTCCACCCCCTTCACCCCCACTGAGTCAAGGTGAGCAGAATTCCCTCTCCCACCTGGCTCAGGATCCTTCACTATCTCCCCAGTAGCTGTCTTACCCTGTACTTGTGCATTTCCCAACCTGGGGTAGATGTGTCAGTGCACTGCAGCTGCCTGTCTCCCTACTTCTGGCTGGAGACACTGCCACCATCAGGCTCTGTTCTGCCCCGCGGTCCCTTTGAGGGGCTGGCAGAGAACTTCATTTCCTGATCTGCATTTTAGGGCCCAGTTAATTTCCCTTTAAGTCAGTAGGTCTCGTCCCTTCTCCTGAGCAACAAGCACTCTCATCCCCTCGCCTCTCAGTCTGCATGCTTTGGGGATGTAACCAAACTCCTCTTGGACATGGGCAGTGGAAATGTGATGCCCCTTCCCCCGTCAGCTACTCTCTTTGCATTTTTGCTCTCATGCCCTCTGCCTGTCCTTGCCTGTCTGAGGCTAACTGAGGACTTGTCTACACTACAAAATGAAGTTGATTTACAGCCACCACAGTAATTAAAGCTCCTTCTTGTGCCTTCTGTCGGTGGTGCGCATCCTCACCAGAGCACATCCAATCCGCCAACTGAAGTGGGGCATTGTGGGACACTGACCGCTGGAGCCTGGGTGCCCTGCCCTCCCCTGCCGTGCTGCTGACAGCCTGGGCCCTTCCTTCTGCTCCGGTGCTGACAGGGTGAGCTCAGGCTGTCAGCCCCATTAATTTGCAGGTCTCATTGACCATGGTCACCCCACAACCAGCTCCCCATTTCCTTACGTAACTCCTCATTTGAGTTGAAACTTCAGCATAGATCATGTCCCTTTTGTTCTAAACTCCCTGAAACCTTCTCCTGTATGTTTCTGGGGTCAGTTTAAACTTTTGTAACAAAGCTTGTTAACTGTCATCATCTTTATAGTTCTCACTTCCCATAAGGGTAAAAATGGCCAAGGCCTTTGTCCCAGACAGCGGTGGAGCAAGGTACCTTACCATGTCCCTTTTCCCCTGCTTTATTCAGCTAGCACCCCAGTTCAAAAGCATGTTGGAACACACCCCTATCATTCCCCTCCCTAAAGCGAGGTACACCGCCCATCAGGACAGGAACTGGGGACTGGTTCCGACCACTGTTCTGCTGTTGCAGTCTCTCTATCTGGAGCTAGTAGTGCTGCTGCTTGTCCTCTTCTCTCTCATACAGACACTGCTGCTCCTGGTCTGCATGCTGTTGGGTTTCCAGACGCACTCTGTCTCGCTCCAACTGCAGCTTCTCCTGCTCCAGCTAGTGAGCTGTCCACCACTCCTGTTCCAGTGGTGGGCTTGGTCTGGATGGAACATGGTTGTGCCTCTTTGTCTCTTCCCTGCAGGGCTCTCCATCTGCTGGATCCTCCTCCAGCAGGCTGGAGGTTTTCTGAACCATCATTCCTCAGCTGGTCATTAGAATACAACAAATGGATTAGTTAGACGAATCAGCTCTGAAAGCATTTCTCTGCATAACTCAACCAGCCCCTTTTTCTTCAGCTGTTCATAATTCGTTTTCCCCTGTCTTTTTGCTATTTCTTTTCACTACTGAGACAGTTGTCTCTGTGCTTTTCCTTCTTCAGTACTTGCTTTTACTGCTGTTGGCACTTGTGCAATTCAGATTGTTACAGATCCCAAATACACTGTTATCGTATATGTTACAGTTCAGGGCACCTGTCCCTATATTTCCCGTTAGTGGCCCAGCAAGGGCACTCACTCTCTGGCAACAGCTGGGGGTCTGGAAGCACAAAAGTGGGTACACCTTTTGGGATGCTAAAGGGACAGTGGCAGTTGTCCTGAACTCTGACACAACCCAAGAAGCTAAAATTTTGCTATGAAAATCAGATTGCTGGTGATGTTTCAGGAATAAACAAAATGTGCCCCTCTCTTTCTAAGGCCCTTGGGCCCCTGTTCTCTCCCTGTCTAGGTAACTCTCATTCAGGTCAATAGGAGTAACTCAGATCCTGCAGGATGAAAGCAATGAGTTTCTCCTGTCTTCTTTGTAACAGCTCGTGCTAACCTATGCTTCAGCCAATTCATGCATTTTCCAGCTGAACTGCATGCTGCTGGTGCACAGGCAGAGAAGGAAACCAAAAGAAGCTGGATTTGCTGGCGCTCTGTTGGCAATTTGGCAGAGTACAGATTTCACCAACTAGAGGAGGAAACATCTGAGAGTGGGATGTAGGAGAACAAAAGCAAAATTTTATATTTGAAAATGAGCAAGGGTTTTTTCATTTACTCCTTCAAACAGTTCTCCTTCTACATACAAACAAAATGAGCTGATCTAAAATTACAGGAGCATATGCAACAATTGAACTGAATTTTCAGTGTAAGATACTGGGGTGGGTGTGTGTGTGTGCTCTATATTGTATCTCTGTTGTATAGAAATAATCATGTATGTAAAAACAACTTTTTTGTTGAATTAGATTCATTGTCAAATAACTTTAATATAAATGACCCAATCTAGAAGCCCTGATTTTACACTGACGTGCTGTTCTAAATTAGAAGAAGGCTTCTTGAGAGCATGTTGACATTCCCCTGTCAGTGGAGGGCACAAGGACCCAGTGGTAGAGGAAAAACATTTAAAATGCGTTCTCTCCCCTAATGTTTCAGGAATTCATGTGAACAATAACCTGAATAACTTGAAATATGGCACTGACCACCACAGAACATTATCTTATACACAAGGGGCGGTGAAGTCTGGGAAACAGGAAACCTCTACTCGCTCAGCAGCCAGTGACAAGATTGTATTGCTGGTCTGCAACAGAGCATCTACCGGACAGCAGGGGAAAAGGTAAACGCCAGCTTCCAGGCTACACCTCTGGTCGTGGTCTCCATGGAAAGCCAGGATTCACTGTTGTAACTCTCCATGTACTGGGACGACAGCATAGACACCTCTCTGGAGCCACAGTGTAAAGTCCGAACTCTTGCTGGGAGCCAGAGTGAGGTGTGAAGACTTGTTGGCCCACTAAAAACATATGTTCAGTGATGTAGCCATTGGATTCATTTGAAACCATTAATAGTTGAGTCTGCAGTTAAATGGGCGCAGCTTCTGTGAACATAATGGGAGCTGTGTGTGTCACAGGGAATTAGATCCCGTCAGGTTGCCTGAAATCACCTCTGATGAGCCCAGCCTGTCCTTTGAGGGTGGTGCTGTTCACACTCGTACCTGATGTGCCTCCCTGCCAAATGTCAAGGCTCTACCGGCTCTTGCTGGGGTGCTCGAGTGGGCATGGGAAATATTTTATAATGAGAAGTTTATTCTCCTTCCTCGTCTTTGTATTGATAAATGGCTGAGCCATTGATGTTCACACTTTCCAAAAACTCACTTTCAGGTAGGGGCTGGACCCCAACATTTCAGCCTGAAAATGGGACCTTGTTGGTGGGAAGTTAGAACCAACTGAAAAGGCCCTTTTGAATGTGACCGCTGAGACAGCCTTAACAGTAACTTGTCCCTGTGTGCTCCAGGGTGTACCCCTGAATGTTCACCCTCCCTCCCTCCCCCAAAATCCATCTGGGCTTGATTCTGATCTCAATAGGTCTCTGAGGCCTGGGCTCCACTGAAGTCAGTGGAGGTGGGGTGAGGGTAGAATTGGGCCTTATGTGTTTTCCTGAGGTGGTAACTGGAGTTAACGAGGAGAGGGTGAGCTTTGCCATCGACTCTGCTGGGAGCAGAATTAGGCCATTGCTGGAAATCTCATACAGTGTGTCAGCTTTAGGGTTGATGCTATTCAGGGTTGTAGACATGCAGTGAGAGGGGGCAAATAACATCAACTGAATCAGGATCGTCCCTTCAAAAATACTAATCTTCTAACAGTTTCTTAAAACGTTGCTCCCTTCGATAGGTTTGGCCAGCCCTTTGTGTTGCACCTGGAGAAAACAATTGTGTGGGATCTCCTCCAGAAGGAAATCCTGGAGAAGATGCAAAATATTCTGCGGCCCTCAGCCTGCATTCAGGTAAGACAGACTGACACTTCTGATCCTGGAATCTCCACCTCTTTGTCTTTGTAGCTTAAAGCTGGTGGAGAATCCAGTTGATTGGAGGTGGCGAAGGTGCTGTGTGTGGTGATGGAATATTCCTTAAGTGAAATATATGCCCGGGGGTAGTGTGCAGTCTGACAGTCAGCCTGTGTGTGCCGTTTGCCGAATTGCCCACTTTTATTTACCACCTTGAAAACATATAGGTGCTCGGCCTGGGCAGGGGCTGAATGAAGTCCGCTTCCTATGGCTGTTGCGTAAAGGATCTCTGTCAATAGCTCTGTTCACCATTCCGAGAGCAGCATGCTGTAAGAACTCTTGCCTTACGCTTCCTTCCATAACGGAGACCTCTGCCTTTTACACCCCTTAGAACAGAGCCCTTCGGTCTAAACCAGGGGGCAGCAACCTTTCAGAAGTGGGGTGCCGAGTCTTCATTCAGTCACTTCTCATTTAAGGTTTCGCATGCCAGTCATACATGTTAATGTTTTTAGAAGGTCTCTCTCTGTAAGTCTATAATAAATAACTAAACTCTTGTTGTATGTAAAGTAAATAAGCTTTTTAAAATGTTTAAGAAGCTTCATTTAAAATTAAATTAAAATGCAGAGCCCCCTCCCCCCCCGACCGGTGGCCAGGACCCAGGCAGTGTGAGTGCCACTGAAAATCAGCTCACGTACCACCTTTGGCACGCTTGCCATAGGTTGCCTACCCCTGGTCTAAACGATAGCCACCCAGTGTTCAGGTCTCATACTTGGAATTTCCCCCTGATATTAAAAGCCTGGGCTTGGCAAAATTTGGGATGAGCAGGTGTCTGAAATTTGGTGTGTGACCCATTCTGGGGAGCACCAAAGGGATTGCCCTAGGGGTGGGCACCTCCAATACGGAGTAAAGTGCTTGTATGTTCTTGGCGTGCCATATTGATAGTCACTTCATTCTCAGGTCAGACATCTAGTGATCAGGACGTAACTTCTGCATTTAAAAGAGAAAATCTCTTTGCCAAGCGCTCTGAGCTGAGGCGAGCGTGAGAAATGCAATGCCAAGGGGAGTAGGCGCACTAGAGTGCTTGGCTTCAGCCTGATGCAGGCACTGCTTGTCTTTGGTCTTTGCATAAGGTGGATGGAGGAGCTGAGATCAGGTTAGATGGGAAGCCTGAGAATTTTCCTGTCCCCTTAGTACTTTGGTGGTCTGTTTAGAACCCATGCTGATCTTTCCATCTCTATTCCTGGGGAGCTTTTGCTCCAGTTAGTCCTTTGCTTATAATTGTTTCAATGAGAGGATTGCTCATTTTCCTCACACCCCCACTCAATAAGCCTCAAACTGTTCAGTTTAAATTGCAAAAATCTGAGGCTTGAAGCTGTAATGAGTCATTTGTAAGATCAAACACGTGCCAGCCTTTGTTTTGTAGTTCTGCCATTAACATTCTTAACTGAGAAATCTGCCTTAAAAAAGACTTTGAAACATTAGTTGATGTGTTCATGGCTCCCACAAGCATGCTAGGTGGCTGTTAGAGCAGACATATCTGTTGGAAAAGTCTGTGTAAGAACAAGCGGGTGAGGGGAGAGAGGAGACATTGCCTATCACTACGGAGGAATTTCTGGTGATTCTCCCAAACCTCGGCTCTTTCACGTGTCCCAGGTGCAGGAACATCTACTCTTAGCACAGTAGCCACGAGAACTTAATCTACTTGTGAAACGCATACTCAGAGGGGCAGATCCTGCCTTGGCACTTGCAGGGAATGAACCAGTCCTGTAGAATAAATCTAACTTCAGTCACTCAACCAGTTCACTTTTTTCCCCTGTTTACCATAGGTGTGTCCATTCAGCTTGCGGGTGGTTAGTGTTGTGGGCATAACATACCTATTACCTCAGGAGGAGCGGCCCCTCTGCCACCCCACTGTGGAACGGTAAGCGCGGCCCTTGTCCCCCTGTGGGGCACAGTTTTTCCCCAGTTCACTACTCACTTGTTCTAGTGTTGCAGTTAAAGTATTGCTGCTTAGTCCGTAGGAGACGGGTGCCTTACGTGTGGGAGCATAGACAGACTTTCTAAACCTGGGGCCATGGGCGTATTTTATATTTGTTGTCAGAAAATTCTATTAGAAAACTCCTACTTGGTGCCACTTGGAGAAGGAGAGCGAGTGATTGGAAATAGATGGGGAGAGAAGCTTTGAGAGGCAGGTGTGCGACGCCGGAGATGGTAAAAGACTAAGGGAGTAAAATGACTGCAGGCCCCATGGGCGGCAGGTCTAATGGCCAGGGGAGGCTCTGCCTCCCCTGCCGCGGCTGCCGGACCCCGGTTGCGGGGTTTGGCGGCAAAGTTTTTGCTTTATTATGCCCCATGCAGGTTCCAGGGTGGCTGAGGCGGCACATACTGCTGCCTCAGCCGCCCCAGAACCTGCATGGGGCATATCAAAAGCATGGGGCATATCAGGGCTTCGGCTGGCCCGGGGCTCTTCCAGCTGAGGCGGGTGGGGGGAGGGGGTCTTGGGGATCTGGCCATGGGGAGGGTGCAGGCAGAAGGGGCAGAGTTGGGGGCTAGCCTCCCCAAAGGGCTGAGCAAGGGCTGTGTTCAGCTGTGCCCAGGATGGGACCATCTCTAGGAGCGAGAGGAGTTCAACTTACCGGCTGTTAACTGGCATTAGACATGCTAGTGTTGAAGGAAAACAAGGAAGGGACCTGCGGGCTCTAAAAATCTCATCTCTAAAATTGGATTTCTGCCCCCAGAGTGGAACATATTATAGTAATTCTGTCTTTCCCTACTACTCTCATCCCACAACGCTTCAGGAACCTTACTCAAGAACCACTTCACCCATCATTGCAATGCACACTCATCTAGGTGCTTGGATAATGTGTTGAGCAGAGTCGTATATGTAGCTACAATCGATTGGAATGCAAAACCATGGCAGCAGTGTGTGACATTACTGCGTTATCCTGAAGACAGGGAATGAAGCAAGAATCTGTCCCCAAAGGAATATGATAGTCAGCAATAAAATACTGAAGTGATGGGCATAATTAAGGTTAAGATTCTCTCACGGTTATTTTTAGTAAAAGTCAGGGACAGGTTGCAGACAATAAACAAAAATTCACAGAAGCTCATGACCTGTCCCTGACTCTTACTAAAAATACCCTGTGCGTGGGGGGAGAGGGGAATGGATGAACAAATAGATCACTGCTGGGGGCTTGCAGCTGTTTCAGCCCCCTGCGGCATGGGCTGTCTGCTGCCGCCCCGTGCTGGGGGCAGTCCGGCTGGCCGGAGGGGCTGCTCCTGCGGCAGGGGCTGACTGCCACTGTTCCAGCACCAGGGGTGCTGACCCAACCCCAGCTGCTGCTTCAGCCCTGCCCCAGAAGAAGTGTCAGAGAGCCTGGAAAATCATGGAATCTGTGACCTCCGTGACAGAATCATATCCTTAGGCATAATGAAATGCCACAGGTAGATCCCAAATTGGAATTTGGCCAGTTCACTGGGGCAAAGTTTCGTGGGCACCACTCTTCTCTGTTATGTGCCATAGTACATTGAGTGGCTAGGGCCTCCAATTTTGGATGTGAGAAACCCTTTAAAATTCTTGTCAGTCTTGTGCATGGGACAGGCTTGATTACAGACAAAATCAGCCATTTTTCAAGGGAGAAAATGCTGGAATCCAGTTGGCTAACAGAAAATCTGGTTCATGCTCTGTTTCTCTGGTCACACGTGTTGCTGGCTTCATAACTTGCTGTTTGAGTTGTTTTCCTTGCTCCATTTTGCACAGTGAAGTGTGTCTAACACATGAATTGACAAGTAGTTTGTTTCTGGTATCATTTCTTTATTCTATTTCCTGCTGATAGCACGAAGGAAAATCCCCCAGAATATCTGGTCATTCTTGTGAATGGAGACTTTATGGATAAGCTGTTCTTGCTGGATTTTTTTTTTTTGAGTAGCCTGTCTGTATTGATGCAGCCGGTTAGCGGCAGTAGTAGCTAAGCTGAAAGACTTGCTTCTCTGATCCAGCTGAGTTCCTGCTTCATAGGGCCCTGCTAGGTTAGCTCAGGGGCTGAGGGTGCACAGTGGGTATAGATATAGATACACACACATGCGGTACAGGGTGACTGGAGTTTTAGACCCAATGCTCTTCTAACCCTACGATGTCGTCTTCTCTCTCCAGGGCACTGAAATCATGTGGACAGGGTGGAACTGCTCATGTGAAGTTGGTGGTAGAATGGGACAAAGAGACTAAAGATTAGTAAGTATGATTGCATTAACTGCAGGGAAATATTGGCAAACAGCCTGGCATGATAGGAAATGCAGCAAACTGTTCAATCCCATAGAATCTCCCGCTTCTGAGATGTTCAGGTGAGACTGTAGCTGTAAAGACAGGAGGATCTAGCGACTGGAGCTTCTGTGTGGTGGGATCCCTACTTCTGTCTAGCCTGGATTCCGTACTATCCGAGCTGGCTTCTCAATCCCAAACCGTTTGCTCCATGTGCACAGCTCCCATTCATGTCAGAGGGGTCTTAAGGGAAATACATCGGGTGGCTTTTCTGCTACCTGATCCAGACCGAAGGCTGAGTGAAAACTGCTTCCCTTTCTTGCTTTAAGTTAGTTGTTGTAGAGCAGCCTCTTACCAAGGCTGGCTCCCTATGGGATGGGACAGATCAAGCAAGCAATACCTCCAGCCCTGCAGTGGCTCATCTGTAACGTTGGGGTGTGTATTGTACAACTGGTAAATGCCTTGTTTCCCTGATGCAGTTTGTTTGTGAACATGGAGGATGAGTACGTCCCAGACTCCGAAAGTGTCCGCCAGCAGAGGGAGCTTCATCACCAGCCTCAGTCCTGCACTTTATCTCAGTGTTTCCAACTTTACACCAAAGAGGAACAGGTAGGAGTCCAGGACCTGGCCTCTTTCAATATGGAGCGGGAAGCTGGGGAGGAGAAGGGGATTCCATCTTCTCTGCTGCTTTAGTCACTTCCGGTGCTGCCGAGATGCACTAGTTTGCTGGAGTAGCTGTTCTGCCGACATGACTCATTGGGGTGTCAGAGCCCCAGGTTCAAATCCTTCTCCCCCTCTGGCAGTGTCCACCTTTGGAAGGGGTAATGCGTTCTGCAGATGTGCTTCACGAGAGTCTGGAGACAGTGTGGGCTTCTCTTTATTCTCATGGGAATATGCTATTGTGTGTTTCCAAGTTACTTAACCTCTTGTAGAAGGACTTCTTCAAGCTGGGGACATTAGAGGGAGAGATTGCCAGCTTGGTATCCGGTTCCTTCAGAGAGCAGCCTTTTCATGGCTTCTGGGAGGGATGTTCTGTGCATGATAAGCATGGGGTTGTAAAGGAGGCTAACATGCAAATGTCACTTTAATGCATGCACATGTGATCTGCATGCCTGGCCATGAAACGGGCTGGAACAATCCAGAACATGAAATTGGGCAGGGGGCTGTAATTACCGATAGGAAGCAGTGTAGTCCCAAAACTAAGTTCAAGCTGTTCTGCAGTGGCTCAAGAGCATGAGGACCAGCCTCAGGGCAGGCTGTTCGGAACCAGGGACCAACCCCAAACTGGCTGTGAGTTCTATACGTCGATTTCACCCACCAGTTAGCAAGTGTAAACTCCTCGGGCACTATCACAGCCTAACCACGGAGTCACAGACAGTTCCCTTGGGGACCCCCTATTCTGTCTTGCCACCCTAGTAAGCTTACTTTTGTGATAGAACGTCCCTTCCACCAAGTATCACAGCAATGCTCAGGACACTTCCAGTCTCAAAGGACCAGTCACTTACCCCAAGTCACTTGCACTTTGGATCTCACCCCAGAGACAACGCTTGTAGCCCATCCTATAATAAACTATCTGAAGATTTATTGTGTAGGGAAAGGATACAAGAGAGTTATTTACAAGGTTAAAGCAGGAACATAGATACGCACAAATGAGTTGCAGTCTAAGTTTTAAAAGATAATAAAAGTTTCTATGATAAGCAAGCTCTATATGACCTTTAGGGCTAAACCTGGGGGATCTTTTGCTTATGTCAAATAATCCTTGTCCTCCAGAGTCCAAGCAGCATAGAGATACAGCCCCTCCTTGTTAGGGGCTTTTATACCCTTGGCCCTCTTCTGCTTTGAGCTGCAAACTGAGCTGATGGGAGGAATTCACTTGCAAGACTTGTCCTCATGGTATGTGGGGGCAGAGTAAACAGTCTTTTGCCCTTTGATGTTCCACTTTAGCCCATCTGCCGATGATGGGACTTCCTTGTGAGGCAGGATAGAACCCCTTCTGTGGGAGACCAGCATTTCACACTAAATAATGTTTCTCCTGTCTGGTGATTTGCACAGTTGCAAAGGCTTAGAATGCAAATGTTCAAATATTACCTTACAGTATGGGATACAGACGTTATATGTGAGATTAATGCATGCAGCAGCTCGCAAGCATTCAATAAAACTTAAACACTAAACACATCCTTGTAATTTAACAATACTAACACCCTGGTGAGCCAGACTGATTTCAGCAGTGTATTTGTCTGTGTTCCATTGAGCCACGAGGACCATGGGCAACCGTGTTCTCGCCCTCAGCAAAAAATCGCTTTCTCATACTGCCAGACCTGTCCGTTTTTTACCTACGTGTGTGTGTGAGAGAGAGAGAGAGAACGTGGAAGGGAGTGTTTGGAAGTGGAAGTAGGTGCTTTGCACAGCTGCACTGGCTGAAGTGCCTCCTGCATCCATCCACTTCATGTTTATTACGCACCATCAATGTGGCGAGTGGTGGGGAGCTCCTCTGCGCTGCTGGAAGCCCCTGTTGGCCAGGGTGCCAGCCAGACAGTGAAGGTGTTTGGAGCAGGTGTCTGGATGCACCGCGTCTGAGCGCATAAGTGAGCAATGGTTGTAGGGAAATGTTTGAATTGAGATGTTTGCCAGCTAACCGCTGCTAATGCTCCTTGTTCTTAGCTTGCTCCAGATGATGCATGGCGCTGCCCCCATTGCAAGCAGCTGCAGCAGGGGAGTATTACATTGAGCCTATGGACTTTACCCGATGTTCTCATCATACATCTAAAGAGGTTTAGACAGGTAAGAAACCTGAAGTGGGAGACTCCAAAAGGAACCCTGAAAAATGGGCTTTCAAACTACTGACCCTCTGAGCGTAGGCGGTTGATTGGCACTTTGCCTTTTGGCTACATTGCAATGAAACACTGTCCCCAAGTGGCCAATTGTGCTCACTAGAAGTATGAATATCCTAGATGGGCTTGTATTGACACCTGGAGTTGTGGTTCTTGTGCAAACCAAAGTAAAGTCGGAGTGTTCCTCAACACAACCGACACTGCGGTTCAAAGCTGCATTCACTGCACACTGGAACATGTCGGCATTGCCTCCCTTCCTGTGCATTCTTCTGTCTGCCATAACCGCTTTCGGCTTTGGAACTTTGCTCTCGTTTCTCTAGTAGCCTCTGGAGAGAGGAGTTGTAGAGAGAAGTCCCTTACGGTGCGACTGTGCTTCTGCATCATGCATTCCTCTTCTCCTCAAGCTCCGGATCCTCCCTGCCATTGTAACACGTGTTTCCTTTCAAACAGGAAGGAGACCGAAGAATGAAATTGCAAAACATGGTCAAGTTCCCTCTGACCGGCTTGGATATGACCCCTCACGTCGTCAAACGCAGTCAGAGTAGCTGGAGTCTGCCATCTCACTGGTCCCCATGGAGACGACCCTACGGTCTTGGAAGGGATCCCGAGGATTATGTCTACGACCTGTATGCGGTGTGCAATCACCATGGCACTATGCAAGGAGGGCACTATACAGGCAAGTGCTCTGCAGCGTTAGACTGATACACTTTCCAGAAGATGGGTAACTGTCTGGTGAGGGTACAGAGATCCACCCTATGTGCCACCTTCCCAAACCTGCAGGAGTCTAGCTTGGCCCCTCTGAGCCTGCTAAAAAGGGGCCATTTAGTGTCAATTTTATAGGTGTGTTTTTGTGACCTGCTTACAGGGAACTGGAACAATGCCCTCTAGGTCCAAACTCCCTTCACACGTCCTACCAAACAGCCTGTGCACAGCTCCTTCTAGTGCAAATAATTCCAGAAACACAGTCAAATAGCAGACTCCAACTCTAGGTGCTTGGAGAACATGGTGATGAGGGCTACCAGATAGGTACTTAGAGCCCTGTTTGCTGCTGCCTACTCCCTAACGGCACTGACTTTGACAGGAGTTTGCCAGATTCTGGAGTGCCAATAGTGTTTTAGAAATGAGCTGCACATTAGATGAAATTACAATCAAATCTGACACAAATTCATGTCTCCCAGTCGTCCTAACTGCTTTTCTTGGAGCTAGAAATGCTAAAAAGCCATAATCCTTAGAACGGACGGTCAAGTTAACTCTCCTTACAGCTTCCAAAATGCTGGTCAGTGCTAGCCTGCCACCAGAGCTTGTGTTGTATATGAGCTTCAGCTGTGTGTGTGCATATCCCAGCAGATTCCTACTTGCTTGGCCTTATGTAGCTCTAAGGAACAGCTGGAGAGAGACAGGAATTTAACACTGCTCAATGTCTTTGCTTGTACGCTCCCAGCCCAGTGATCAGACACATACCAGTCCTTCAGTGTGTATCCTCTGGATGTTCTAGTCCTGCATCATTCTGAATAGATTCCGTTAAGAGACAAGATACAGCAACAGAAGCAAAATGCCACAAACAAAATAAAACACATAGAGCTGCCCCAAAGCAGGGGTCCCTTCTCTATGGGCAGCACGGGGCAACCGTAGGCACTGGAGTGCCTACAATGTACATCTCTGGTGTCTTCAGTAAGCTTCCCACTGGCCATTCAGCGTCTGGGTAGCCAGTATAATAAATCTGTGATCCTTCCTTCTCCACTTCTGCTACCACGGGCTCAGTTAGACAAAGAGGTTGCTTGCTGTTTGCCGTACAACGGATTTGGCTGCTGTGTTGGCAGGAATGAAGTGAATGGTGCCTGGTGCTGTGTGGTCTCTAACGCACTCTTCTGTCTCACAGCATATTGTAAGAACTCTGTAGATGGCTTGTGGTACTGCTTCGATGATACTGACGTGCAGCAGTTGGCAGAAAATGAAGTCTGCAAGCAGACCGCTTATATCCTCTTCTACCAGAGGCGCACGACGATCCCATCCTGGTCGGCTAACAGCTCTGTGGCAGGTAAAGCCAGGCTGGCTTGGTCAAGGAACTTACATGGTCTTTCCTTATAGAAATGACGGAAGAGCTTGAGCTTAGTGATCAAATCAGCCTTGTGCCTCGCTCCTCGTCAGCCCCGTGCACAGGGCTGCTGTGGGAGTGGTCAGGGAGCTGGCGTAGCTAACTAGCCGTGTCGCTAGCCCTTGTGGCTGCCTGTTCTTAATGATGGTTTCAGCTTGTGCTGACAAGGCAGGAGTAGAGACCGCTCCCAAAGAGCTTACAGCCCAAGCTCTGCCCATCCTAGAGCATATGCCTGAGTTTGCTCCCACTGAGGCCTCTTCTCGATGCTGAAGATGCTGGGAAATTCCTCCACTGCTGCTCTGGCACTTGCTCTGTTCTCTTGGGGCTAGTCCTGGGGGACCCACTCCTGTAGCACAGGCACTTTTACCACAGAGGGCTGTTCTGAACAACCCAAAGACAAAAATACTGCTGATCACACTAGCACGGCTGCTGTCGGAGCAGCCCTGGAGGGAGGACTTCAGTCTCATCAGTGCTGAGGGAACTTTAACCAGCCTGGCTAGTGTCCTTGCCCAGTTCAGTTATTGCGCTCAGCTGTGTCCCTTCACCCTGCCAGAGGCACGTGGCTTCCTTCCTGTAACCAGTTCAGCTCTGTTTTTTTTATCTAGAGCGCCCTGATCATGTGTACAGTACTTTGGTCAGTCCTCCTTTGATTAGGAGGCCAGCGCAAGTGCACAGCTCCATGTGTCACTGGGGCAGCTCCACCTGCACGTTCTCCAGGCATGCTCTCCCAGCTGAGGTGCTGTAGGATGGCTGCCCAGACTCTTCCCAGAATGCACTCCTACAAACAAACTTCTTCTTAGTGTATGTGCACCGTGCCTCAGGTGGCATATACCCAGGTTTCATCACCAGATTTGGTCTGCTGGGTGGATCATTAGCTTCCTTGGCCCAGGCCGGGTACTGATGGGGAGTGCGACGTGACTGTGGATCCATGCCCCCTGGACACAAACTGAAGTGTTCCTGGTAGCTGGTTGAAGAGGCTGTGCCTCTAACTGGTTACAAAATCATGGGTAAAAGATGTGACATGGACAGGGCCTTAAAGAAATCCTAGGAGACTTAATATCCACAAAGGGAGAGACTGATTTGTCTCTCCTCCTTCCCACAAGAGGAAGAAAAATCTCCTCCAGGGCAATTGTACGTGTGCACGCATTGGGGGGCACAGGATTAGGTGGGGAATACCACCTCAGAGGGGCTGAGTTGAAGAATATAGCAAGGGGAAAGTTGAATATAAAGGGGAGAAAGCTAAGGGGAAAGAATAAATAGGTAAGTCTTGGAGCCCATTTTGGTTTGGATGTTTGCATATGTAGCAGCCGTCAGATTGCCGGAGCATTATTCTTCAGTTAAAAAAATTATTATTATTATTATTTTTTTTTTTAAAGCTAGCCAGTCTGAAGCTAGCTTGTTCATCCAATTACAGTGCTCTGCTATAACTGTAACCTGGTCTGTCATTGGTAGAATCTCACTCATTCTCTAAGCCAACCAAATGCAGCAAGTCAGCGGTCCTCGGTCAGTTGAAAGGAGGGACTCCATTCGTGGTGGGGTCGGATAGAAGTGATGTCGCTGGGGTGTTGGGACAGGATCCGGATCTCTGCCTTTAGAGAGGAGCTGCCGAGGGTTTGAGTGGCAGCCTGGGCTGAGCTCTGCTCTAGTGACACTCTGACTGCAGTTCACATGTTGCTGGAAGAAGAGTTTCACTTTATGGGTGAAACCATGTGACGTGAATGTGGATTTATTCCTTCACTAGTCAGAACATTGCGGTCACATAGGCACAGCTCGGCTTTCCGGGAGTTAGAGTTGTATCCCAGTGGCAGGAATGTAATTTGCTTGTGATCAGTCAGTGCCTTGGTAGGGGGTGTGCGATCTGTAATTGGCCACATGCTGCTGGTCTGATCTCAGTGCCCTGACCCCTCTGCAGGCTCTACAAGCTCTTCTCTGTGTGAACACTGGGTGAGCCGGCTTCCTGGCAGCAAACAGCCCAGCATCGCCTCAGCAGCTTCCTCCCGACGCACGTCTCTGGCCTCGCTTTCAGAATCGGTTGAGCTGACGGGGGAAAGGAGTGAAGATGATGGTGTGTATGAGCGTTCTGATGCATTGTGTGGAAAGGGGGTTATCCAATCAAAACCGGTCTGTGGATTTCCTCTCTCTAATACAGACCCTCTCCTAGGATAGCAGCAGAATGCACCCAGCACCGGAAGTGGGCTCCCTAAGCTGAGCAGGGAGTGCTGGGGAGGCAGGCAGTGTACCCAGCCTCTAGGAGCAACAGACAGTGATCAAGGAGTGCCAGGAGACTGAGTGGCACTGATGGGGCTGCCCTTTTTGGGAGGGTGGGAACCAGCATAGAGGGCCTTGGGGAGGAAGAAAATGTAAGGTGGAAACCGCAGCATCTGCCCAGCCCCTCTAGAAAACGGTTTTGTTTATTTTTTTGAGAATTAAGTTCTTTCGTGTTTGCAGGGAGCAATATCAGGCTGACACTCCACGTACGGTTAGTGTAGAGCAGCGGTTCTCAAACTTCATTGCACCGCAGCCCCCTTCTGACAACAAAAATTACTCCACGGCCCCAGGAGGGGCGCTGAAGCTTGGGCCCACTCGAGCTCTGCTGTCCTGGGGGTGCCAAAGCCGAAGACCAAGGGCTTCAGCCCCAGGCAGGGGGCCTGTAACCTGAGCCCCACCGCCCAGGGTAAAGCCCTCAGGTTTGGCCTTTGGCCCTGGGCCCCAGCAAATCTAAGCCAGCCCTGGCAATCCCATTAAAATGGGGTAGTGACGCACAGTTTGAGAACAGCTGGTGTAGTGTTGCCATGCTCAAGCACGCATGAGGCACGATCTTCTCGTTTCCCCAGCAAAGAGAACACTAGCACAAATAACCCGATAGCTGCTGGCTGCACTCCGCTTCTCCAGGGTTTCTCCATCTGCTGTTGGTTTAGCTTTCTGAGTTAAAAAACAAAACAAAACTAAGTGTTGCTCTCGTCCCCTGCAGGGGGGTTCTCGACTCGACCCTTTGTAAGAAGCGTCCAGCGTCAGAGTTTGTCTTCTAGATCCTCTGTCACCAGCCCTCTGGCAGTAAATGAAAATGGTGTTCGGCCATCCTGGTCGCTGTCTGCGAAGCTGCAGATGCGCTCCAACTCTCCTTCACGCTTCTCTGGAGATTCCCCTGTGCGCACTTCTGCCTCGACACTGGAGAAGATCGGGGAGGCTGCTGATGATAAAGTGTCCACCTCCTGCTTTGGCAGCTTAAGGAATCTCTCCAGTAGTTACCCGGAACCAAGTGACAGCAGCAGCAGGCGAGAACATAGGACGGTGGGCAGAGCCCCTCTGGCTGTCATGGAAGGGGTGTTCAGAGAGGAATCTGCTGCAAGGAAATCAAATTCTGCTTTCATGGACCCATATGGGAAAAGCTCGGTGCAAGCAGACAGGAGCCATCTGGCTCTGGACCCTTTTGATAACAACAATCAAATTGCTTTTGTGGATCAGAGTGACTCTGTAGAGAGCTCTCCAGTCAAAGAGGTGAAAGCCCCCAGTGGGACAGGGCTGCTCTCTGAGAAGGCAGATGGCACCCCCAAGAAGGCTCCCAGCTCCAAAGGCATTTCTGAGCCAGATAAAAATTTGAGGAAAGGAAGGACAGTCTTGTCTAGCCAAGAATCCCCAATTTCTCACCCCTCTCCTGCCTCTGCCCCTCCTTTAAAGACCTCTCAGAAGGTTTCCCGGTCCAGAAGCAAGACAGATTCTTCCAGGGCCAGTGGGCGACATGCATCTCCTGCTTCTGGCCAGGCTAGAAAGGAATCTGGCACCAAACTCCAGGAAAGCCAGGCTTTGTCATCGACTCAACAGAAACACAAGTCAGTTTCTTCCCCATCCTCCACAGCTGCCAAGAAAACCACTTCGGGGTCAGTGACACGGGGGCCCTCTGCTGGGAAGAGCCTCAGCAGGGAGGGCTCCAAGGTAAGCCTTGGCTCGGATAAGACCAGTGTCATTTCCAGCTCAAGAACCAGCTCTCCTCGGATAAGCCAGCCTAGAAGCGAGAGCAGAGCAATGGACAGCAAGCATGTGCGGAGCAACTCCATGGCCAGCCTGAGGTCCCCAAGCATCAGCATGCGTTCCGGTTTAAAGAGGGACAGCAAGTCGGAAGATAAAGGGCTGTCTTTCTTCAAATCAGCCCTGAGGCAGAAGGAGACCCGACGGTCGGCTGATCTGGGAAAGACGACAATGCTTTCAAAAAAGACTGCAGGTGGCTCCTCCAAGCCAGGCAGTAAAAATGTGGCAGAAGACAAGTCAGAGAAGAGCAGCCTCCCACCATCCTCTCACGCAAACCCCAACATTGCTGCAAAAGAGAAGCTTGCCCTGAAAGATGCCACGCCCAGCAAACATTCTCTGCTGTCCAGCCGCAAATCCAAGTCTTCCCAGCTAGACCCCGGAGCACAGTCTCCTTCCAGTGACAAACAGTCTGCTGACAAGTCATTGAAAAAGTTACCTTCCAGCATGCACATGTCTGCACGGCCTTCTCCGAAACCTCAGTGAGATGCTGCAATCCAGGTGTTTTTTTCTTCTGCTGAGAGCTAATTTATTCTGAGTTCTTGTTGTTTTTTTTGTTCATGTGCCTAATGTGTGTTTGAGGAGAACTTAACTGCAAATTGGTAAAGCGCCTTTTGATTCTGCCATCAAACCAAATAGCCCCAGCTGGCCAGCACTGATACCAAGTGAAGTCCAGCTGGAGTCATAGAACATGAACGCAGCTGTCCCATAGCACTTGTACAGAAGTCTCTTTATAGAAAAATGCAACAACTTTCTTCAGACAGCAGGTTTGAAACCTGTACCCAGTTATACTGTAATTAGCGTGCTTTATAGAACTGTGAACTAATATTCCATTGGTTTTAGTCTAAGCAGGCTCCATCTGTGGTGATGGGTGACCTGGTTCTTGGCTGCAGAAGATGCTAAGGGACCTGTGAAAAAGAGAGACTGCCGCTTCTTTGTGCTGTCCCCAATCCCCCATTTTTCAAGCTTTTTAAAGGGCAATATCTCAACACTAATGTTGTTTCTCAGGTATATACTCAGCCAGTATAGGAGGGTTAGCATTAGTGACTGGACAGATCCAAAGGGTACTCCCATGTATGTGTGTGCAGAACAGTTTTCATATTTTCATTCCAACAGGCTTAATTTTTTTTATAAAATATAACTTGCATTTTGTTGTTGCCATATCTGAAGACTCCACTGTCTGCTCCAACTTCCTTCTTCCTTTGAGGTGTTACACTACGCAACAGAGAAAATGACTAGTTGGTGCCAGCCACTAGCAGTGAAATGTCCAAGGTGAAAGATATTACAATACCTAGAAAGACAGCTGGAATTCTTAGTCTTAAATAATAGTGAAGCTGGTAGGACCCTTATCGTTAAACCCCCGAGAAGAATTTTCTAACACACATGCTCAGATGCTTAATTGGCATCTCTCTATCTGCAGGAGAAGTGAATAGATGTACCACATGTTCTCTGCTCCCTTTTTGCATTTTCCGAGTGTGTTTCAACGCACCTCTGTATGGCCAGGCCAAAATGCTGTGCGGTTGTATTTTGACCAATAGTGTAGTCCCACATTCTTCTCTTCATTCTACATTTCTAATGCTTGCTGACGGGTCCAACTGCAACAATGTCTTACAAGACAGGTCTGGTTTCTGATCAGATGAGGAATTCTGTCAGGGTTAAAACACTACATCGGCAACATCTTTGCACACACTGTCTCTCTGAAAGGTGGCTTCTCTTCCCTGAAGTCCTTTGATACACACGTGGCATTGTCTGTTTTTATTTCATGAGCTGATGATGAATTGCATTCTCATTTTAAGAAAACAACAAACTGTGTCCTTCATGTATGGAATCGTGTTTTGTGATAAATGGTGTATGATAGCTCAGTTGTACTGTGTGCACAAATCATCTGCAGTTTACATTATTATGTACATTCATTCTTTGTCTGTCACATGAACACTTCTGGCTCTGTGAGCTTAGTGTGTGGACAGACCTATTTATTAACCTTTCCTGCTCAGTATTACAGTAACAAATGACCCTGGAACAAATAGTTATTATTAAATATCCGGTTCAATCTCCTCTCTTGAACCTGTTGGGAAAGTTGCTCACAGGTCACTGATCGTGGCTGCTCCTTGATCACTTACACTTAGCTTATCTGCAACAAGGTGTTGAGAGATTTACTTTCAGGGTAGCTTTATCTTGGTAATACACACGACTTGCATATACAGCCTCATACGTGATTGTGCATACCACAAAGCTCTGTGTAACCTGTGAATATGAACCCATGTGCAGTGTAACCCACACCATCCAGTCCAGACCATACCCTCTGCAGGACAAGCATTCTTGATCCCCAGAAGCAGTGCTAGTAGCCTGTAACACTTCTCTGTACTCGGCCTGACTTTCCATGTCGTGGATTATGTTTTAAAACCCAAACATGGCCATTTTCTCCATTCATTCCTGTTCCTATATCACACTTAATGGAGCAAAAAGGGGGCAAGAAGCATAGAAAATTGATCTTAATTTGTGAAGCTGGATTGATTTGTTTCTTGTACTCTGTTTCCTGAACAGGCAGGAGTTACTGGGCATATTCCTCTAGTGGTAAATTTCTACCTAAAACTTCTGATATTGAAGCATTAGTTTAAGGCTTTGTCGTCTTGAGAGTGCAAACCATGGTATCTCCTTAGTTGCAACAGCTCTTCTAGCAGGAACACCGTTCCAGTAGCCACTGCTAACATGGTTGGACCTCTCACTATAGACCGGGCCTAGTTTGCCACCTCATTAGAAAGTGTGTCATTGTGCAAAGTGACCTTATGGAATAGCTTCCCCCTCTTGTGCACTCATTCATTGAGCAATTCCTGTATTACATACAGCTGAAAGTTGGTTTAGGGTTTCCAAGTGGTAGCTTTACTTCTTGTGTTCACTGCCTTATTGAAGCAAATTTGCAGCAATGACTGAAATTGTGTTGTAGACCAATGCTAATCCAGTGTGCTGGTACCATGTGGTGAGTTTGCTATATAGACATAGGCTGCAGCACCAAAATGGGAGCAAGAAGTTTGTTGCCAAATATTCCAACAGTTAAGATAAAAAACAGCCAAACTGCCCCGTTCTGGTAGGTAACGCCAATCTTTCTCTGGGGTCTGCTGATAATCCCTCCTTGGGAATTCCCACTAGCTCCAAAATCCTCTCTCTCCTTCTGCAAACTGTCCAATGTGAGTTGGTACCTGCGCCTTTGAAAGCGGGATACACAGGACCCTGGCGTCTGGTCAATCCCGCCCATCTGAAGTTTTTAGAATATCACCCTCTTCCCATTAATTTTCATCTCGGGGGAAGAGTGTAAGAACAAAATCTCTCCTTCAAGTGAGTGACATGCTGTTCTCCTGTGGCAGACTGCCTGCACTTCTGATATATTTTTGAGTAGGCAGGCTGAGCCATACAGCAAATCACTTCAGTTTATATAGGGCAGTGGATTTCTGTTGGTGGTCTCATAAAGTGCACAACAAAGTGAATAAAATATGATGGCCGTGACTCTTAACAGTAACTAGAACTGGAGCTGTGTCTTTATGGGCAGATGAAACACGAACACAAAACTATCTGGAAAGTGTCGCGGTCGTTCACTGCTTTCCTCTGCCCTTGGGTTCTATTCATATCAATAGAATGTGAAATTCCAGAGATATGTGATGCTTGACCTGGTGGTGGCTCCAGAAAAGAACCACCCTGAATATGAATCTAAGCCAAGCATCTGTCTTGTTAGCCCTGACTGACCCAGTTATGGGGAGTAGATTTTTCTAGGGCCATCTGCATGATTTTGGAGGCTTCCCAGTGAGATGATTTGGGGAGGAGGGACATCATCTCAATCTCTTTCCCTCACTTCCCCATCAATCCGTTTTCTCTCCTGTCTACAAGATGAGAGGAAGGGAAAGCAGTTGGTGTGTGCTGTTGTCCAACACAACAGTTCGACCCCAAATTAGGGGTAACCCCAGTATGGGGTCCCTTTGGCTGTGAGTTTTGCAAGTCCTAAAAGCCAGGTCTGGCAGGGATTTATGTCTTTGTCCTTAAAGGTCTTGGACTGCCCTGAAGCAGTGACCTGTACCTGGTTTACAGTAACTTAATTTAGCTTTGGCTCCCAGAGCAGCTCATACCTGATGTAGAGGAGATGCAACCTGGGGGGATGGTAGAACCCAGGATGCCATTCTGATCTCATGGGTTTGTATGCTGGGTCCTGTAGTCCTCATGCCTGCAGCTCTGAATTAAAGACAAGTGGCTGTAACCCTGCTCCATTTTATTAGTCAGGGGAGCCTTTGGGCTTCTGTTGAATTGCCAGTGTAGCCTTTAGTGGGGCTGTTTGGTCTCTAGCTTGTTTAGCTCACAGGTGAGATCCTGCAAGACCAGAGACTGATGAACTGGAAGAGAAAGTTATAGTACTAGATGTGAGAGTCCTTTTGAGTAGGGAATTCCAGTGCTAGCCCTGTCTTTGAAGTTCCAGCAGAGCCACACAATCCTCAGAGGAGAAGGGAGAGAGTTAGTCATCTGAAGAGCTTAATAGATGGTTATAACCATCTGTGGGTGGGCCTGGTGTGAATTAATTCATTTCTTAAACTGTGGAGATTAAAATGTCTCTAGTTACTCGCTTCTAATCCTGATGTCTTGCCCTCTGATTGCAGAAGAGCTGAGCTTTCATTCCATAGCTAGACTCTTGCTAGAGCCATTTGAAGAAATTATTTTCACCCTTCTGGGCAAGGTTTTTTGGAAAGTATTTAGTAGTATGTGAACTATAAGTACATTTTCAATGAAATGTATTTATAGAGGCACCTTGTACTTTGGATTACTTGCATTTGATAGACAAACTGGTGCCTCAAATTCTTAAGTGTGATAGGTGTCTCACTTTGGATGGATGTACAAACTTTTAACCCTTTCAAACTTAGGCGATCTGTATGGCTAAGTCAAAAACCACATGCTTTAGGTAGAAAACTAACAGCTTAATTACAGTACATTTAGCCCATTACAAGTTCTCTGGTCTCTACACGCAGAGCTGTCTCCTTGTCACAACAGAAATTTAAGCATGACCAACCATTTTTTCTAAGAAACGAAGACAGTTTTTGCATGGCAATTCTTGCTGTATCCTGACTGCATGCACTTATTAACTATGCAAGCATTAATATAAACTATAGATTGCACTGTCCGTATCACAAGCTACTAGGTAGACTCTGGAGCTCTGTTTTTGAATCTGTAGTTTTATTTCCCAATGCGGCTGCAAGTCAGCACAGAAAGTATCAAGCACCAGAGAAGAGCATGTATCTGATTTCTTGCTTTATTTGCACATCTTTGATTCTCTTTCCTTTGCAGAATTTTGGATTACTGACAAGACTGCAGTGTAGAGTAAAGTCAGAAAGGAATCTGAAGTGTTGAAATGAGAACAAACTGGTCTTCTATATATTTTTTTTAAATTGGAATAGCCTGACTCTGTTATGTTCTGTATGTAGCCTGCCACGTTCTATATGGTTTTAATGACACATTCTGTACATCATGTTGTGAGACAAGGAGGTCGCCTGTAGCAGTGCTGACGGTCTAAAAGAGCTTTTGTAGAATTTCAGTGCTGTCTAAGGGAATGGTTACCAGCCATTGGCACATTGCCTACGTTGGCACAGCAGGCTTTGGTGACTGGGACCGTAGGTTCCTCCCTGAATGATGAGCTTTTGTCCTAGGCCCTGCTGTTCACTGGCTGTCTACACTCCGCTGTGTACCCCATGCTATGACCACCATGGAGCTTGGCTTTCTCCAAGCCTCAGTCTTGTGCGAGTGCAGGCTCCATGATGGGTAGAGCGTGCACAGCCTAATGGGAGCATCATGGGGTTGGCTGAGGTCTTAGCTTGGTACAGTTGCCTGAGGAGATTGAGAACAGCTGGTCTAAGGGACTGTGCCCTCTTAATTCAAAGATGGGTTCAAGACTTCTTGAGGGATTGGGCGTTTTATTACGGAAAATTAAAGAGCCACAATGAAATGTTTATAATTTTTCTGGAAAACGGAATGTGACCCCCGATAGGAGATATTCCCTCTTATACAAACATCTTTTCCATCGCCAACAATCCAGTCAGTCACTGGTCACATCTAGGACATACTTATCACCCCCACTTCTTTGTGGCATCTGTTCCAGGACCCTTTTTTCTCAGTTGGACAGCAGTTATAAAGAACGTTTGTTTTGAAATGACATTCCAAATCATTTTACAGTAATCCTCTTTATCTTTGCTGTCATTTGCCTACTAATCCGAAATAATTTGGCAGTATCTCATGTTATCTGTGGAGGCAACTGAAATTTAGTTTTAATCTGTGGTGAGATGAAAGTGCTACATGATTTTCTTAATAAAAGCACCACAAAGCATTTGTTACCATTGGGAGCTTTATTTTGCAGAATAAAGGTAAAATGAAGATTCCTACAGTATCTTTCAGGTTTTTCAAAGCTTAGTGGCTTTTTAAAAACCCCCGCTAACACCCAGTATACCTGCAAATAGTGTTTAAATGGCACAGATTAAAACTAGGTGCAAACATACATTCTATTCCACTCTTAAGGCCCTGCAGCACAAACACTTTTCAAGAAAGCTTGTGTTAAGATGCAGCATTTGTGCAATGCAATATGGGAATGTTTCTAGGTGCTATACAGCCTTGGGTAGTATTAAACACCAGGAGATATAGGCTACACATGGCTAGAACACTTTCTTGTGGCCTTCCGAGTATACAGGTTTGCTCACCAACTGTGCCTCACCATTGGTTAAAATTGAATTTTAAGTCCCGTTACAAATGCAGTTTCTCTTCTGGTCACCAAATTTCAGATTTTACACTGGAATATCTACAGTTCTAAAAGCTGCATGTCATATCACTGTACACGGATACTGGGCAGTGGGGATCACCCCACCTTTGATACTCTTCTGTATTTTAATGTTTTTGAACTCTACAGTAATCTGGAAAGCAGGCTGTCTTTACTTGGGGTTGAACATTGTACCATAAAAACTTTTAAATTATTTGAGGACAAGTGCATGAGACTGTGATGCCTTTTATTATTTATTTGTATGTTTTATTATTCGAGGTGTATGCACTTTTAATATGCAGACTTTATATTTTTATGTTAAAAGATCATTTTCTTTCAGAAAGAAGAGCTTTGAATACAAGGAATTGGAATTAAGTGGAAAAAGTGGGAAAATGTAATGAAATACAATAAATTTATTACCATGCATCTTGGCTGCATGAGCTTTCTTCAGGGGTGAGGGGTTGGTGCCTGCTACCCAAGGCACGTGGTTCGGATTCACCCCATAGACCTGCCCCTTCTTCATCTCGGCACCACTCCCTGTTTTTCCCTTTCTCCACTTCGCTCCACCTTGGCCACAGACTAGCTTCTCCCTTTGGGGTGTCTCTGCCATTTCTGGGTTGGCCTCCCTTCCTGCACGCACCCCCGTGCTCAAACCCTTTCCCAAACCTGGTCTGACACCACGTCTCTCCTTCAGGCCAGGCCCAGGGACGCACATAAAGATGGCATTGTCATGCTGTAGCCACTCCCCTCCAATCAGCCCCCTGGCTTCACCGGGCTTCCCTCTCCCTCCTCTGTTCTCATGCTGCTGCCTGGACTTATGAGCTCTTTCTGGAGGGGCCTCTAGAGTAGGACGACGACAAGGCATAGAGTGCAGTGAGTCTAGCGTACAGGCGGCGTACAAAGCCTTTACACCTGACATCTCCGTTTAGTGACTGGGGGGGGTTGTCTCTTGTCCCTGTGAGCAAATGACAAGAGATGAGCCGGATCCAAAGGCACTTCTTACAGTTAGATGAGATTTTACAACGTTCAAATTGCATGTTTCCTGTCTTGCTGGTGGGTAGCGTAGAATCTCCTTTGTGGCCACTAGATGGCACAACCATCCTGTGTTATCCCTGATGGGGAGGCAAGTTTCAGAAACTCATCTGAAGGCTCCTCAGGCCTGCAGACTCATCCAGGAGTGAAATGTTTTGATGCCTTGGGCTCAGTGGGTTTATATACCACTGAGGTGGGATTTTCATGGAATTGGTTCTCCAAGGTGCAGCGCAGACCTAAAGGGAGCGAATGTCTGTGATTCCAGTGTTTGCTCAGAGCCCCTTGTTGGATGCACGACAAATCCTACCTCACTCCAGTGCCTCCTGCCCACGGCCCCTCTCCTCAGGGTCCCTTCCTACTCCGCTTTGAAAAGTGTCAGCAACTAAACCAGGGCTTCAACCAGTCCCTCCCAGAAATCCACCCTAGTCCAGCTCAGCTCAGCTCTGCTTGGGCCCGGGGTAGCACAGTAGGTTGGTAAGGCGATGCTGAGAACTTCAGGCAACCCAGGCTGCTCCCTGGCCCTGAATCGCTTTGCCACGTGCCCTTCAGCAAAGAGAGATCCAGTGCGTCGTCTTCAATGTCCATTGACCCTTGCAGGGCAGGGGAGACAACCTGGGAAAACAAATGGTTCCGTTGCTGCAGAGGACAATAGTGATCTAGAACATTCTTTACACCTATTTAATTCCATCTCCTGACAGACAATGGGGCAGAGAGCGCTCTCAGTAAAAGACACAACACTCGCATCTCTTCCTCAAAGGACTGGGAAGTCTTCCGCTTCAGTTCTCTAGTCC